AAAAAAAAAAAAAAAGTAAAACTTTATAATAAAAGTAAATATAATAGTACTAACTATCGTGATAGTAAAAAACAGAAGAGATTAACAATGCATGCTGTAGATTTATGCACTAACTATTAATTGGGATCTTTAAAAATAATCCAGTTTTTTAACAGAGATCTGTCTTTTTTCTCTTTTACATTATTTAGTTCCTTAAGCTTTTCAGGCAGTCTATTGTGAACAAAAATGGCCGTGTATTTATATCTGCACTTGCCACTATTCAGCCTACTCAGAATTATCGGAATGCTCTTATTTCTGGTTGCGGTATTATTATCTAGGATTGTCTTCTTAAATTGTTCTATTCATAAAGCAAACATTCATATCTGTAAGCTTATTGAATTGTGAGAGGCCTGAATTTAATATTTATATTCATAAAATTATCCTTGAAAATAATTTTTAATATACGCATTGGAAAATTAGTCAGTATACTCAGTACATTGCGGTAAGCCGAACCCCACGCCAATATTTCGTATGAAGCTATAATATGAAATAGTGCATAATAAACTGACAGTAGTTTACTTGTATTGAGTGCAAATTTTAATCTGTAAAACACAAACAGCACATATTTGGTCTTTTTTATAATGTTGGTTACATAATCCTCCTATCGAAATTTACAATCCAAGATCAAACCTACGTATTTTGTTTCAGCTCTACAAATATCAGTATTATTAACAGTAATTGAGCAATCGCTGGGATAAGAATCTTCATATTTACCAAATATCATAAATACTGCTTTTTGAATATTAGTTGCTAATTTATTTCGATAGAACCAGTTTAATATTGTATGTAGTTTACTTGTTAGAATATCTTTAAGTTTTGACCATGAGTTAGAACTATAACAAACCATTGTGCCATCTGCATAGGATGAGATACCCTCTACTTGCGAAAGTAGGGAGTTCACGTAGATAAGTAAAAGTAGCGGCCCAAGTATTGTATCTTGTGGAACTTCTATGTTTACTATCTTGAATTCACTTGTGGTATCGTTTACCATAGTCTGCATTTTCCTATTTTTGAGATAGTTACTAAATAACCTAAGTGCAATTCCTTTGATTCCACAGTTCTCTAGTTTGTTGAGGAATAACCTATGGTCCACACAAACGAAAGCCTTACAAACATCAATAAATCAGGCTGCGATGCGTCAAGTTTTGCATTTACGTAGTCATTTATCTTTGCTAGTGCATCTTTACATCCTCTGTTTTTCTGAAATCCGTGTTGATTTTCCGATATTATTTTATTAGAATTTAATAAATTAGATAGTCTATTATAAATCAACATCCCAAAAATTTTAGCAAAATTAGAAATTAGGGATATTGGCCTATAATTTGTAGGTACATGCTTATCACTTCCCTTGTAAACTGGTACTACATCTGCCATTTTAAATAAGATTTGTAAACTAATTTTATTAGTATTTTGTTTAAACAGCGTTATTTTATTTCCAACATAATAATAACGACTAATTTATGTTTAAGAATATTTTTTAAATCTACTTTATTTACAAAATCTTGATGCCTCTTTGCTTATGCTAACATGCATGAAATCAAGGGCAATGTATAACTTCATTCCAAACTACTTATTTTATGAATTAGTAAGTATAAT